ATGCCATTGATTGCACAGGCACAAAACCCACACTGTACTTGGCAAGCAGAACTTTTCTCCAGGCCAGATTTTCAAGTAGGAAATCTCTCAGAGTATAGTTGTCAGGGGCATGAAACCTCCTTTTACCTATTTTACTGTTTACAAATTTCTATGGCTTCTTTGTTGTGTATTTTAGGCTGAAACACAAATTTTTTCAGTGTAAGATGCAGCTGGCAATACGTTTAGCTGCGTTCATCCACTCACCTCTTGCTAAAACTTTAGGGAGGGAAATTGTAGGATCTCCTGGTTGCCATTCTTACTGTCACTTTCTCATCTAGTCCAAATATTTTTATACTGTGTTTGTTTAAAAGTGAAAATGCTGCCTTTACAGCCAGCCTCAGGGAATAATTTCTTTAGAAAGAAGAACCTTTCATCTCCTCTTTCACTCTTAATAGAAAAGATACTTATCTTCTACCAGGAACTAAATGGGGAGTTCATCAGCTAATCCGTCTCATGTATATCTATGTTCCTTCTTTTACCAACAAAATATTTCACAAATCTAGCAGCAGTAGGAGAAAGCCCTGACCTTGCCTATTTTTGAAAGACTGAAAAGTTAAACTACACCCCATAGCAATCAGTCCTCAAAATCATTTCTCTTCCACTTCAAAGTGGTGTGTGTGTGTCTTTTTTTTAAACCTCTAATGAAAGCATTACAAAGATTAGCTTTTGAAGTGGTGAGCCGCTTTCATTTATGTTCCTTCTGGTATTCCTTCTGCCTCCAGCTAAAATTTAGAACCTTAAAAACTATTGCACTCTGCTACTAAATTCAGTTGATGTTCTATCAAAGTGCATTTGGATTATCAAAGCCTCATTCTTATCTCTCGGCTTGGCATCCCTGAGAGAATGCCAGTCAGGTTAGAACTGGCAAGCCAGCTGGTGGCTGATGCCTACCAGCCAGACCCTGCTCCCTGCCTCTGCAGTGCCTGCCTGCCTGGGCAAGGGAGATCAGTCCTGCAGCACCCTGGGGAGTGACCTGAAGGCAGCTCCCTTTGGGATAGGAAAGCAGGGCGAGTCACCCTTGAGATTAGCAGCTTCACAAATTCAGACTATTTGCAGTGTTCTTTTTTTCCATCTCATATTATAATCTAAAAATACCAGACTTTATTTTTTGGTTCCTTTAATGGTTTCTGACAGCGGGGAAGATTTGAACCATAATGATTTTGTTGATGATTCTTTTTTTATCAATCATCTTTCTCTTCTTGGAGATAGTAAGTTAACACCAGTGAAATAAGCTTTCTAATATTTCCCAGAGTCCCTATAGTTAACTGACTCCTGAAAACATATGTGATTTGGATATTTCCTATACTTTTTTTTCATTTTAAATGTATGACAAATTAAATTTAACTATAGAAAAAAAGTCAGATTAAACCTGCAGGGACCTTGAAGCTTAATTGTTTCAGCTTGATTGACTTGGGAGCTGCCCTAGGGATTGGCAGAGCATGCTTCTGGGTGCATCTGTGAGAGTCACATAAGCCTGATCTGGGGTACTGTGTATGGTCCATGATTTGTTCCTCTCTGCCACTGTCTCCTGTGCTATTTCCTGGCCACCACAAGCCAGGCATCTTTGTCCTGTCATTCCATTCTGCCATTATGTTTCTGCTTTGAACTCAGCAGAACACAGACTGAGTTTACTAAAGCCAGGAGCCAAACTAGACCTCTTCTTCTATATGATGTGGGTGTCAAGCATCATGTCCCATGCAGAAAAACTGACTAATACACAAGTATTTTCACGCAGGAATGCTGGATAGCATCTTGAAATGTATGTGGAAATCCCGAGTCTTATTCAAGATTCTTTTTTAATTTTGGGGATACCATGTTTTAGTAACGTTTATTCAGAGCATAGAACAAGCCAATGCCCTTTAAAATTTTATAGTTTTCTAGCCAGCTAGCAAGTTGTTTAGTGGGATGACAGCCAACAGTCAGTTTTCACAAGCTAAAAACTGATTGGCAGGACAAGAAACTGAAGCCCTGGGTGTGAATATTGAGTGTTCAGTCAGCCTGTCACTCAGGGTCTCTGGGGAGGGCCGGTGAGCACATAATGGATGAGCTTTAAAGTAGAGCTACTTGCACAAGTCAGGTCTTCCTGTGCCCTGGAGGACCATGTCCTCTGCTAGAGTCCTGTGTATGCCTCAGTGGCACACAGTGAATGTGGACTTCGAGGTCTCTGTTGTCATTGGGATCTTTAAATCAACTCAGCTGACCGCAGATTTGAGGGCAATTTAGATGTGGAAAAACACGGTAGATAATGTAGCGAGTGGCCCATCATTCAGCTTCCATAAAAACCTCATTTTGCTTAGCTTTGGGTTGTCCACTGACCTGGACAGTGACCTGCATTCTCCCAAAAGAACTGTGAGACCCAGCAAGGACTGCAGTTAAGTGCTGACAAATTAAATGACTTTATCTTTTTACTTTATATAAATTTTGGGTCAAATCTCCAATAGATGGCATTGGTGGACACAGAATCCTGATTTCTGGCACCATGTTTTGGTAAATATCTTCCCCGCTGCCTCCTCCTTCCCACACTTTTCCCTTCCTGTTTTCTTCTCAGACTGTCACAAGAACCTTCTGCCCATTTGTGGTTTAGATCAGGCAAGCATAGGTTTGAAGACAGTTTCTGTGATGCATAACTTTGATGCCCCAAAAATGTCATTCTAATAGGCGCTTCCACAAGATCTTGGCACTTTTGTTGGGACTGGACACAGTGATGCCCTCCATTTTTATCAAAAGCAAATGAGAAGGAAGTTCAATATTTTCTAAGTTTCTGTACTCAGAGTCAGGGATGTTTAACCAGCAGTGTCTTCCCTCCCTCTGATTTCTGGCAGCTTTGACAATTTCAGATCAAAGTTCATTTTTTCAGATATGTGCTCCTCAACATGGGTAGTCATTGGGAGGTTTTTAATTCTCACATGTGTGCTGTATTTCTCATGTCAAAAGGACATTCTCTCAAGAGAGCATTTAACAGCCCTTTACAAAGTATTTACTTAACTGATGTATGCTTATTTTAACCATTGCTTGCTGAATATTACCAATAAAAATAATAATAATGTATGAGCAAGACCTAGGGATAGGTTTATGTTGAAGCAGTTCATAGATCTACTGCTCTATGAAGTGCCTGTGATTTAGTTATCATGCAGGTGATAAGAGCAAATATGTTTCAGGTATGAAGCTGTTAGCAATCCTGGTTTTCAAATATCAAGGCTGACTTCCAATGTTGTGAGAACTACAAAGGAACAATTTACATTTGATTATAAGAGAATATAATATGTATGTATGCATGATTATGTAACATTAAAGTTTTTAACTGATACATAAAACTTATGTTTTATACATATTAATAGTGCGTGAGTGATGTTTACATACATACACATATATATGTATATGTATATACAGTGTTTATATCAGGTTCAATGTTTATCTCTTCAAATATTTATCATTTCTTTATGCATAAAATATTCAAAGTCCTTTCTTCTATGTCTTGTTGAGATATACAATCAGTGATTGTTATCTATAGCAGTCCCACTCTGCGCTAGCCTCAGAGCTGGCGACTCCTGTCTTTTGGTTTGAGACAGTCTCTTGTTATGTAGCCAAATTAGCCTTCAACTTGCTATGTAACCAAGGGTGGCCTAGAACTCATGGCACTCCTCCTGCCTCCTGCTGGGTTTGCAGGCCTGCATCACCATGCCCATCTTGGTGCTCCTGTCTGTGACTGAGCATCCAGTGGTCAGTCCTCCCTTGCCTTTCCTCTTGTCATTTATGTATAATATTGAATGTGTAATTCAGGTATACCATTATTCTACTACATTTCTAGATGGAGTAGAAACATTCTTTTCTTGAGACTATTTGCATACTTTGTTTTTGTTGTTAAAATTTATTTTTTGTTTTCAAATACATTCACTCATTCAAAAATTATTCATTTTTAGTTAATATCTATTGAGTACCTTCTAGAAATAGGTTATTTAATTATAGAAAATAAGTCATTTTTGTCTTTAGGTAAGTGATTGCTATTACATAGGAATTGTATAACCTGTTTTTGATGAAGATGCCATATTTTTAAAATAAAATTTTTGTTTTATTTCTTAAGATTTGCCTTTTTCCAATCAAAAATAAATTCACACTGCCTACTAAATCTGAGAATTTTGTGGTGTTCCGTTACCTTTATGTTTTTGTGATCCCATTCCAGTGACTATTCATTTCAAAATAGCTTTGATTATAGTGGACCTACTTTGTTTTTCAGTACTAGAAACCCAAGGCTTCACCTGCATTCTGAGCTATGTCTTCAGCTATTTGCATCCTCTCTTTCTTTCTTTTTAAATTTTGAGAGTGGGCTTTACTAAGTGGCCGACTTGGCATATCTGCCCCCAGCACACACACACACACACACACACACACACACACAGCACACATATGTGCTGATGATGTGGACCAAGGATCAATTTTGCTCCTATTTCACAAGAGATTTGGCTCTAAGAATTTGCAGGGAACTACAGCATATGATTACATGGCATTTAGTACCACAATTATCATCAAATACTCATCTTCAAGATTTTACAGTGAACCTCAGTTCATCCCATTTATTCTTTCAATATGCTGTGTGACTACATTTGTTATGATTTCATTTATCAATTTCATTATTTACATAAATGTAATTTACTTATAATTTTTAAATTCCTTATCTAATGCTTATTACATTTATTTTCTGCTTACCCCAATCTTTATACATCTTTTTTAAATTCTTAAGATACATGGAATTATTGTATTGCTTTGAAAATTTGCATATGACTATGAATTGTCCTCTGTATACTAGTTTAGACATATCTTAGAGGTTTTTATATTAAAGTATTTTTTAAAATTTTCTCTGCAGTTTATATGAAGAATAATTTTTCTTTTGTGAGTTTTTGATTTTTGTTGTTGCTTTTGATGTGTTCTGATTTATTTATCAATTAATAATAATTGTGTTTAACAGGTTGCATTTACAATTCTGAGCCAAGGCTTTGCTTGATGGTATCATTGACTGTTCCCCAGGAAACTGATGTGAGTGTTACTTGGTGAGTACACTGAGTCTTCTGAGAGGGCTTCTGCATTTAACCCGTGGCACTGTCTAGGCAGAAACCTCCTGACTTCAAATTTTTAAAGCTCTATTTTCATCAGTAAGGTACTAGTAACTTTACTCTCTGTCTCTGCTATAGAAATAGGATAATACGAAGTGGTACTTAATAGCATAAAAATTCATAATGCAGGCAATTGCCAGGGAAAGAATTGTTATTACTTATATTCAGGAAATAGTTTTAAAGTCAAGGCAATGAGAAGTAGAAAGAGACAAGGGCCCAATTCCGATGTTCAAGGCCTTATTCCCTACACTGCACTGCTATTGTTGAACTCCATGCTCAGTACACCAGTTTGTGTACTTTTACTTTTTAGGTAGCATACAGGTTGGGAGAGGAGTTTGCAAACTGGATGAACAAGGCAATGTTTGAAGAATACCATGTGAATTCATTTTTGAGTGAGCTGTTATAAGTTAAAGTGACATGAGTCTCACTTTGTGTATGAACTATATGTTTTGCGTCTATTATTATTGTACTATCTTGATCAATCTTACCTTAAATTTATGAGTATGAGCACCACCCTGTTCATATCTTCATATGACTGGCTGATAAGTTGAACGCTAAGAATCTGTGAGGATGTTGTGAGGACATTGCTATCTTATGGCTATGGAAATTAAGGGAACAAAGCACACGTCTGCCTCTCAAAACTGTGTCTCAGCGGAAAGCCTGAAAGCTGCAGACAGAACTCATCCCAAATAAACCCCAATGTTTCCATTTCTCTAATTTTATTCTACATATATTTTTAAGTTTGTCATTGAGCTTTTGTAGCCCTTCTTTCCTGCTTTGGAATGCAAACATTGATTACGTGGTATAGAACTCGTTAACAGGAATAACAGAAAACTCTATAAATTTTTAAACTTTAGGAAACTGTTGAGAATCAGATTAATTTTAAAAGTAAACTGTAATACAAGGTGTCCAAGTAAAAGCTAGAAAGGATATATTTTAATAAAAATTCTTATATTCATATCCATGAAAATTAGCTTTTTCTTCTTAAAGGGAGCATTTTTCATATTTCGTTAGTATGAATGGGTAAAGCCTGAGAAGGGAATTCAAGTGGAATAACTTGCTTTGAAATATTTAATATGTATAAAAACTCCCATATTTTGCTGGATAATTAAGTAATTTTATTACAAAAAAGTTTCCTTCATTCCTACTAAAAACATACATGGTATTTATTTGATAAGATACTAAATACTTCCAAGCTTCCAACCACCAAAGTGCACCATCTATGACAGCCCTTAGCTTAAAGTTTATCTTCTGTACATATGAACGCTCCTTTGAAATGAGAAAATGTTCAACATCACTTATAAATTCTCAATCCCATATCCTTTTGGCAGTCAGACGCACTTTGAGAATTTTTGAAATAATACCTCTTGAAAAGGAGTTGGTACAGCAAACAGTCATTTGGTGGCCAAGGTCATACCTTTTTAAAAATGTGGCCTTAAAATCATTGAGCTTGAAGAGAGTTTGGAACTTATTTAATAATCCTGGAATGCTCACGTTTCAGACAAAATTTTCCTCTATTTTACTGTTTTAAATAAGATTTGTTATATATTTCTGGAGTTCACAAAATATTATAGGAGTCATACAGACTAAAGCCATTATTACAGAGAGCCAAATTAATATAGTCCCTCATGTACTTATTTTTAAAGAGCAGCTAAAATCTCTGTGTTAAAATCCCTAACACAGGAAACTTTTAAGCACTGTCCTCAAGCCCTGTGTTGGTTCACTACATGCACGCTGGTTTGCTTCCTGTGAACTCTCTCTCCCCATCTTCTGTCTCCCTTTACAGGTAACCACTGTTTGTTCTCTGTCTGTGTATATTTGACCTTTTTGTTTGTTTGCTTGTTTTCTTTTTCTATCTGGCTTATTTCACTTAGAGTTCTCTCCAGTTCTCTCAGAACATGCTGTGGCAAAGGCTAATTCATATTCCATCGCGTACATGCAACATCAGCGGGCACTTAAGTTGCTCCCCTCTCAGGGTTATTTGAGTAAGTGTGGTTGTTTCTGCCAGGGAGAGACCTCTTATTCTTTGGGTACACAGTTTGCTCAGAAGAGAGGGCGCTGGGTGATATGGTATTTTTAATTTCTTTAGGCAATATGTCTTTGTCTTGTACAACATCTGCACCAGTTTGCACCAACAGTGTGCTAGGATTCCTTTGTCTTCCACACTCACTCAAATCTGTGTCATCTTTTTGATGAGTGTCATTCTAATGCAACATGATAAATCAAGGAATTTTCATGTGTGCTTCCCCAATGACCAATGGTATTGAGAGCCTTTCATATACGTGTTAACCCATTTTATGTTTCAGTGAAGATGTGTCTGTTAGTTCATTTGTCCATTTGCAAATGAGGTTATTGGGGCTGGGGATTTAGCTCAGTGGCATAAGCGCCTGCCTTGCAAGCAGGCAGTCATGAGTTCGATCCCTGATACCGATAAAAAAAACCGAAAAAGGCAAAAAAAAAAAAAAAAAAAAAAAAAAAAAAAAAAAAAAGAAAAAGAAAATGAGGTTATTTCCCTGATATTGAGTTACAAGTGTTCTCAGTTTTAGGAATTAGTTACTTATTAGATATGTGATTTGCAGATATTTTCCTCAGTCTGCAGGTCACAGTTTCATTTTGCAGACTGTTACCTTTCCAAGGCAGAAACATTTTATTTAATATATTCTCATTTCTTTATGTTTACTTTTATAGCCTGAAATTTTCTTGTGATATAAAACTCAATATCAAGGTCAAGATCAAGAAAATTTTCCCCTATGTTCTCTTTGAGAGTTTTATAGTTTCAGGTCTTATGCTCAGATATTTTACCTTAAATGCATATTGTGTAAAATAAGGATCCAGTTTCACTCTTTCACATGAACAAATCCAATTTCTCCAGCACCATTTATATTTATTTACTCATTGTGTCCTCTTCATGCCTCTAATACTAGCTTTTCCACAAAATACTGACAACCACAATTTAAAGAAAGAAAACAGTGTTTGAGTAAAGTTTCTCATGGGTTCAGTCCATGGTTTGCTGGCTCTGAGGCAGAAAAATCATGGTGAAAAGGGCCTCCCAGAGGACAGCTGCTCATCTCATGGCCTCAAAGAAGTGGAGAATTAAGGAAGGAGCTAGGGTCAACAGTACACCTTTCCAAGTTACAGGTCCACTCACTGCCTCCCCCGCCAGACCACACTCACGCAGCACATTCAGCTACTGAACCGGAGGAGCATGGCACCACCCAGGCCTAATTGTTTTCCAATGTGAGCCTTTTGGGGATGGTTTAGGTCTAAACCATAACAGTGCCTTCAGCTGACCATCTGTGCTGGACTTATTTCTGGGCTCTCTGACTTGCTGTATTCGTCTGTGCTTCTGTTTGTATGCATTATCTGTACCTACTGCCTAAAGTGAATGTAAGCATTACACATCGGAAACAGGTATGGATAGGAAAATTTGAAACTTTCCCTGGAGCTGGGACTGGAAAGCAGACATGGCAGTGGCTTCAGCAGGAAAACCTGAACTCTGGGTCAGAGTGGAGTTCAGATTCACTCTGTATTCCGCAAGGAGCCAGGGAAAGATTTTTATAGGAAGAAATACAAGACTTGTGTTTCAGAAAATTACTCTGATGGAGTTCTCCGGGGAAGCAAGAGCTCTGAGTTAGAGTCCCAGTGGAGAAGTGGTCATCCTGCAGGTGGAGGAACAGCCCGTCAGGGGGTCAAGATGGTCCTAATGTACTAAAGGAATGTACAGAATTAAAAGATGGAGCCCTGGAATCATCCTGTTTGTGTGTGATCCCTCAGCAGGCTGCTGTGAAACACAGAGTGAATGGGAAGGTCTGACTAGGTCAGGAGGACTTTTCTGCACTGACTTGTGTTAAGACGGGGAGTGCAGGCTCCTCCCTGAACCGTGACTGTTCTGCTAGTGGTGCACACTACAGCTTCTACCCCGGACTTCTACCTTGAAAACATGCAAGAGGCAAAAATGCCTTGTGGGGTTTACATTCTTGGGGGTGTTTTTAAATCTCTCTGCTTCTTATCAATGGGCTGAAAGTAATTTTCATTTTGAAATGGAGAGTTTGTTATAGATTAAGAACTGGTGGTCAACTTAACACCAGCTGGATTACATCAGCATGGCATTTAGCAAAGATGCTCCACCTGAGGAGGGTTGCCAGGATAAATAGGTGGAGAAGAAGGGAGGTGTAGAGGGTTGAGGCATTAAGGAGGCATTGTGGGTTCTCCTAGAAGTTGCTGTCTGAGCTGTTGGTTCTCCTGGAGAAGCTTTGGTCCTCACATTGAGCATTGCTTCCTGGCTCCAGAGGGGAACACATGTGCCGCTTGGTTTCCTGGATGAACTCTTCACACTGCTTCCTGGCATGTACCCTACTATGCTTGTCGTCGGAGGAGCTTGAGGCCTCCGTGTCGCTGAGGACAGCTGTGGTGTCCTTCAGGATAGCCCTGGTCTTTGTTGTGAGTGTGACTTCTAGGCTCCAGTGTAGAGCCCTCATCCCACTAGCACAGCTCCTTCATGCTGCTGGCATAGACTTTCTAGCTTCCACCACTGACCCTTGGGTCTTCCCGGCATGGATCCGTAAAAGAGACTGGTGTGAGTCCTTCTTGTGGGCTCTGGACCTCCAGTCGGACTCTGGGAGGCATTGTCCTGAGCTCTGGGTTTTATCTGGACTCATGCAGGACATTGCTGTGGGGTTTAGGTTCTTGGCTAAATAATCTATGACTTTGGTGTTGCGGATAGATTTCCTGCATTTTCCTGTGTTAACTTCTGGTGACTATTATAAAAATATTATAAACTCCATGTCCTAATCCTAATTGTCTCTGTGTACAACCTCTGACTAAAACAGAGTTACTGTCAAGTTCAGCCTTCAACAGCAAAGTAAACAGAGGGAAAAGCAGTATTTTTTTGAAGATGCACAGCACAACTGCTGACTGGCACTGCAGTAATTTTCCTA